GGGCACAGCTGCAATTGACTGATGCATAAGAAAATGCTTTTAATTTTCTTATAGGTATAAAAACGTTTGAGATATCGGCATTTGTTTAAAACCGCATTTTTACAAAAAATGTCAATAATTTCGAAACCCTAAAACAGATTGTTCTCTAACTTTGGCAAATAAGCCTCAGAGCTCTCTAGTTTTATATCTGCAAGTTTGAAGTCAATCGTGACCGTAGAACTCGCTGCACAAATATCTGGTCAAATTTAACCTTAAAATGCAACGCTAACACATTTGTGAAAGCTGACGCACGAATAGAGGAAAACTGCCTGCAGACTATCTTTTATCTGCAAGGGTATTCTTGCCCAAAGCTTCAGTTGAAAGAAACTGAGTAATCAGAAACATAAGGCGAATACAGTTCGCAAAACTAGAGGAACAATTTTATGCTGAATGCGGGGCAAGATAAACAAATTACTATTTGTCAAACTTACTTTGTATTTGACCCTTTCTTTTCGAAACCTATCTTAACAAGGCAGATTATATTATCTACGAAACCTCTCAAGAGGTTTTAGCGTCGCAGGTTCCGTTTTAAGGAGAAATAACGCAACCAACTTCAGTCCATTTTTCAGTTGCACTGAAAGCCCTTGTACTTGGTAATTTATTCAAGGTTTTTAGACTTGACATTACATTCGCACGTGAAGTTTGCCACTTGGGGGTAAAGATGAGGAAAATATGGCAATCGTCTTATTCTTTTCATTATCCCCAATGGCAAAATGCCCGTGCGAATGTGATGGCAAATCTTTCTAACTTGAATAAATTACGTAAAAACAAGGGTTTTCGTTGCAGCTGAAAATGGATCGGTTGAAGTACTGGAGTTGGTGGCCTTATTTCTCCTCAAGAAAGGGAACCTTTAGTGCTAAAAACTGGTAGGAGATTTCCATAGATGTTATATCGTGCTTTGTTAAGATTTTTTTGCGAAAAGAGAAGGGAAAATACACTGTAACTTTGATAAATAGAAGTTATTTAATCTTGCCCCGCATTCAGCATAAAGTTGTTCTTCTTGTACGGCAAACTGAACTCGCCGTAGGTTTCTGATTATTCAGTTTCTTGCAACTGAAGCTTTGGGCAAGAATACCCTCGCAGATAGGAGATAGTCCTTCGGAAGTTGTCCTGTATTTGTGTGTCAACTTTCACAAATGTGTTAGCGTTACATTTTAAGGTTAAATTTGACCAGCCACTAATGCACCGAGTTCTACGGTCACCACTGACTTCAAACTTGCAGATATGAGACTAGCGAGCTCTGAGGCTTATTTGCCGAAGATGGAGAAAAATCTGTCTTAGGGTTTCGAAATTATTGACATTTTTTGCAACAATGCTGTTTTAAACATATGTCGATATCTCAAACGTTTTTATACCTATAAGAAAATTAAAAGCATTTTCTTATGCATCAGTCAATTGCAGCTGCGCCCAGCCCCCCCCCCCCCCCCCCGGCC